GTGCTCAAGAATTGTTTTGATGAGTCGGTCGATGTAAGAAGGTGCAGAGAGGTGCATTTTGATTGGAATTTTCGAGAGAGCTGTCGACGACTCGTGTGTTGATTGTTGCCAAACCCGACGGGACTAGTGGTGGTGTTTGGAGATGCTTTGTTGATATGATTTGGAGATATGTTAAAAGTAACTTCAGCGAGTTAGTTATGCTTTAAGGCGACTTGAAGTACGTAAGAAGAATTATCTGACCAGTGCTCAAGAGTTGGTCATTGTTGTAGTTGTGCCAGAGTTGGAGGTTGAAATTGCTTAATCTGAGATTTGGTGAGGAAGCGATGTTTTACAGACGATAGTCGGAGTAGATTGCGTAGTTGTGTCGGGTAATGTTAAGTCGTGATTGAGTATGCTTGTTTTATAAAATGTGGTTGATTTGGCAAGTTTTGGCATTTTGGAGATTTGAGGATCTAAGATTCGGATTGAAATCGGACGTCGTAGAAATCGCGTTTGATGGTTCTAATTCAATGCCATATGTTAGGGGAGTATGAGTATGTGTTTGTTTCGAAGAAATAAATTGAATCAGTCGAATTTTCGGGCAAAAATGCAGAATTCCCGTAGCAGATTTTGGGCAAAATTCTGGTTTTTCGGAAAACTTCAAAAATTCATAACTCTTGAACCGTATGTCGGTTTTGACTCCCGTTCGAAGTGACGGGAAGCTAACGAGATGATATTTCTAGGAAAAATGGTTTTGGAGTCAGTGAATGAGCCAATTATAGCAGAATATTCGAAACGTGTCATTTTGGTAATTTTACCGTCGTGAACGGGTGCGGTTGATGTGTTATCATACTGTGTGTTTTCGGTATATAACGTGGTAGCTGATGCTTTGATTTGAAAACCTCACCGGTAACAATGATGATGGTGAAAAGAGTTAGAACCGATTGAGCAGTTTGGGATTACAAGTTTGGTCTATGAAGAGACTTGTTATGGAGTTAAGCCGTGTGTGTTAGAACTTACTAGTAGTATTCTTGAGGAGATTCGAGAAGGTCAGAAAATCTGGTTTGAGTTGGTAGATTGGTTGAATTTTATGAATCAAAGTCGAAGAGTTGATTTTCGAATTTGTGGAAGTGGTATCGCGATATGTCGTGATGGAGTTTGTGGTCGACTTAGTTACGGAAACTAGTCCGATATTGAGAACTCCACATTGTATGTCTGTTTGGATGGTCGAGGAATTAATTTGATTGAGTGGTTTTGAGACTTGTGTCTGGGGTGTATTCTAAGGCAGCAGATTGTGAAGTCGAATAGAGGGTGGACAGTGATTTCTGGTGATTGTGAGAAGAGGTTGGGCGCGGAAAGCAATATTGGTGTACTTGAGGTTTAAAATATTTCAAGTTGAAACTGTGCCGAATGGTTTCCTAAGTGCGAAATTGTTGTTGTACGTCGAATTCTAAGATCGCAGCTTTTTACAGAATCGAAATCGGACATACGGAAGTCGTTTAACGGTCGAAAAATAGAGATCCGGACTGTCATGTTCGCTGAGAGATTCGCCTAACGAAGTATCCTGGGCAGAAAAATGTTGTTGAGTGGAGTAAGAATACTCTTGAAGAAGTGCCTTGAGATAGATGGAGTATCCATCCAAGTGCCATGAGGATGTGACCGAATTTAAGGAAATTGTTTTGGTGGCCATAGATAGAGAGTCACAGGAGTAAGTTGAGTATTCATCCGGGAGCGACGAATATGTATAGTGATTTGAAGAATCTGTCTTGGTGGCCTGGTATGAAGTGTGATGTAACACGATTTGTGTATGCATGTTTGACTTGTCAGAAGTAGAAAGTTGAGCATCAGAAACCTGTTGGGTGGATGCAACCGTTAGAAATTCTAGAATGGAAATGGGACAGCATTTCGACGAATCTTGTAATGGGTTTTCCAAAGAATTTGAAGGGATATGATTCGATTTGGGTAGTTATGAATGGATTAACAAGATTAAATCATTTCCTGCCAATGCGAGTGAATCAGTTTATGCGGAAGCTAGCTGAGATGTGTATCGATGAAGTTGTGAAGTTGTATGAGGTGTCATCGAATATTGTGTCAGATGGGAACCTGAGTTTTCATTGAGATTTTAGGAGAGTTTGCAGACGTTTGAATGTCATGTCGAAGTTGGATTCTTTCTAGCATCCGTGGATGGATGGGCAGACAGAGAGGACTATTCAGTATGTAGAGGATTTGTTGAGTTATGTTGATGTATGTCCGGCGAGAGTGTTGTGCTCGGACATGAGATTGTGTAAGAGACGATTGAAAAGATTAAAAGGATCCAAGATAAGATGTGTTTTGAGAGTTACGATAGTAACTGGTGTTGGTCGAGCGTGAGGTCTCGGAAATACCACTATGTTTTGTTTATCTGTATCAGAGTGGCGCAGCGGAAGCATGGAGAAAGTAGCATGCTAGGCTGTTTTACCGTTGTCGCTTGTGGGAATTGCATGATGTGTTCATGTGTCCAAGCTGAGGAAGTACATTGATTCAGATGGATAGTGTACAAGTGAAGGATGATTTGATTTTTGAGGCATTGCTAGTTCAAGTTGATGGACGAGAAGCAACTTCGAGGTAAAAGGATTCTTTGGTAGAGGTAATTTGGAAGATTGGGATGCGAGAGTCGTATCCGGAGTTGGTTGAATCGATGTAATTTCGAGGACGAAATTCTTTTAAGTGGGGGAGAGTTGTAACGCCCATTTTATTTCGATTAAATCCAATTATGACTTTGCCATGTCTCGTTGCATCGTAGTCGTATTTGAGTATGAGTTCGTCTCGAAGAAAGGAATTGAATCGGTCGAATTGTCGGAAAAATTCTGGTTTTGTCGGGAAACTTCAAAAATTCATATCTCTTGATCCGTAAGTCGTATTTGGCCCCCGTTCGAAGCGTTGGAAAGCTAAAGAGATGCTCTATCTAGAAAAAAATTTAAAAAAATTTAATTTTGCTGATATGACGACCGTCACAGGGCGTGACGACCGTCACACGAGCAAAAACTGCAGTTATGCAGAATTTGAACGTGTTCTGGTAGAATGAGATTTTTTAGTAAAAATATATTCCCATGGACTCTTTTACCCTCATTTTACATCATTTTGGGAATAGAAGATTAAAAAGAGGAGTTACGTAGGGGAGAGAAAGTAAGAGAGAAGAATTGTCGATCGGCGAATTCGGAAGATTTCTGCAGAAAAATCACCGTAGAGCAGAAGCGGAATCGGAAAGCGTGGAATTGGCCTCAATTCTAAGGTAAGGGTGGGGTTCAATTCTATAACTGGGAGTATGATCGAATTCATGCGGGGATTGGGTCATAGGTATAGTTTTCGTTAATCGATAAATGTTAAGGAAAAGGTTTCCCTAATGAGACCAGATTTCTATGTAGGAATGAATGTGTTATGTGGTTATTAGTGCGATGCCCTAAGGTTTTCCTTATGGGCAAATGCGTAGAACGAATATGCTATATGGTTATTCGTACAACGCTCTAATGGTTTTTCCCTAATGGGCGTCAAGATGGCTGAGTTGGTCTAAGGCGCCAGCTTTAGGTACTGGTCCAAAAAGGGCAGTCACCTAGTTGTGACTGATTGGTAACTAATTATGTGAATAAATGTCGTAATGTTGTTATTACAATAATATGTGGAGTTCTTAATTGTTGATATTAAGGTTGTTGTTGTTCCTGTATATGAACGTATAGAAATGGGAATTGTTGTTGTTCCTGTATACGAACAGGTAGGAATATATATGATGTCATTGTGGTCCCCGTATGTGAGTAAGTGGAATATGATGATCACATGAGTTGTATGATGTTGTGATTCTCTGTTATGGACGTTTTGGTTGTAAGCATAAAGCTTCATTGTATGGTTGTTCTGGTTGTGTTGTAGTCCATAATAGGTGCATTGCATGGCATATCATTTGGCCTGGATTGGCGACGGTTGGCCCTTAGTGGCAAAATTTTGGTTGTGCCTGTATTGGCGTTAATTGGCCTGGATTGGCTACGGTTGGCCCTTAGTGGCAAATTGGCCTGGATTGGCGACGGTTGGCCCTTAGTGGCAAATTTTTGGTTGCGGAGTCTTGCTCCGAAATGGTACCACATGCATATGCATAGTTGAGTCGCATAAAGTCGCATAATTACGCTAGTTGTATGTTAATGTTGTTTATGTGAGATATGGATTACTCGCAGTTGTTGTCGATGATGTTTATGATTTCAAAACCTATAATGCTGTGATGAGTTCCGGCATGTTTTCTATCATGCTTTATGTTATATTATTGATATCTCACCCTTTTCCGTTGTATGTTACCTCCTCTGGTGGTAATTTGCAGGTAGTCAAGAATAGAGCGTAGTTCCCGTAAGGTGTCGTTGGTCGCTTTGATACGTAGCACTCTTGGGGGGGATGAACGATTGTTTATGTTGTTTATTTGATGTTTTCTTGTTGCTGAATTTTACTAAGTATTTTAGTTGAATTGGGTGTGTTTTTTTGTTAATGCACCGAATGCTGGTTGTACGCACTAAGCCGAAGAATCGGTAGTGCTGAATTTTGATGGAAAACTAGTTGTTTAATGAATATATGCAAGCTGAAGTACTTGCTGAATTTTAATGGGGTTTTGGTTGTAATTTCTGGTATCACACTGATTTTCATAAATGTTGAAAGTGCATTATGTTCCGCTGCGAATGAATATGTTGTTATGTAATTAAGATGTTATGTGAGTTGTTATTAGTTGTTCATCCAAGAGTATGTGCTATGTGTCATCACTGAATGCATGTTGTCCAATTAAATGGTGAAATGTATGTTTTTGTAAGTCGAATATGTGACACCTCTATTGCGTCTCAGTTTTTGTGCGTGTGACGGTCGTCACGACTCCATGACGGTCGTCATGCCTGCAAAATTCGTGCACTATGATTTTGATTTATTTTAAATATGCGTTGGGTTAGAACGGGGTGTTACATTACTGATTTGGCTTGGAGATTATATTTGAAGGCAAACGTCATGGTTGGCTGCGTGATATGTTGAATCTGGGTCATGGCTTTGCACGTGTGTGTATACGGATGAGAATTTTTGTGTATTATTATGCAGGCATTAAGAATAGGAAGAAGGAAAAAGTTGTTTTTGATGACCAATCTGGAACCTGGAAATGGAGACATGGATATGACCGTGCCAATGATGAAGAAGCTATACCTATTATTGAAGCTAAACCAACTGATGGTAAGTAATTGGATATGCATTCCCTCACCACTGCTGGGTTCACTTTGCTTTGCTTGCCTTATTTGTCTTTTTCTGTCATTCTGGTGCAAAATATGGCAATGCAGCATTGATTCTGCCTAGTTACTGTCTCTTAAATTCAAAGTTGAGATACATGTGGAACATGACAGTATGTTGTAGAACATAATGAGTTTTATCTTCTAACTATTAGAACTTTTTCTATATCCAATTAGAGTGGCAAGTTCTATACACCAGTCAAATGACTCAGAAGGCAAAGAAGTACCATGATGGTTTTTTAGGACTTGATTCATGCGGATCTCAGGGGGCACAGGTTAACTTTCAAACGTCTATTTCTTTTATGAAAAGTTCAATATATGCTTTGATTTCAGGATATGATTGGTGAGGTTATTTTACTGCATACACGTTGAATCCTTTTTTTGTTTGTTTTTTCTTCTTGTATTGTGATCAATGGCACACTCAGATTAGCTTAAATATTAATGAAAATTGATCCCTGTCCCCCTCCTGAAAAGAAGAAGAAACTCACACAGTAATATTTTGAATACATGCTATTTGTATACAAAATATGGTAATACAATACTAAATGTCCTTACTAGTAGTCAGATATTAGTTGCAGTCAGAAAATAAACAAAGTGCTCAATATATGGTCTACTCCCCCTTTTTCTGTCTATATTTTAGGTCAAGCTGGAAACCTTTAGATAGCAGTGATATTTTGATTACAAGCTATTTTTGAATACAAAACATGTTGATCCAAACAAGTAATATCATTTCAACTGGCTTCTATAATTGTTTGTACAGATATTTATCCAAACAAGTTCTAAATCTTAAAATGTCCCAGTTGCAGTCAGGATTACATGAGGGGTTTAATAAATGGCTATCCGTCCCTCTTCTGTCTGTATTCCAGGTTAGGCTGTTTGATGCAAGCAGGAAACTCTTAGATAGCAGGTTCCTTAAAAAAGATGATGTAATAAAACCCGGTGAATCAATTGCATTTGATACATATTTGGTTGACATTAGTAAGGATCAAGTAAGTCATACACCAGATTCCAGTGTTCAGGGAAAGAATTGCACTAATATAAAGAGAATGGAGAAGATAGACAGACAGAAAGCTTCTCTTGACATTGATAGCCATGTGACCGTTGGAAAACGTGGTTAGTTGACAGTTATACTTATTGTTTTGAAAACATGTTGTATTTGGCCAGTTGTTTTTAGTTGCATCAGTTTTTTTTTCATTTGTATTTTTACTTAGTAGGATGATTATAGATTTCATTGGCATTTCCTATTTCCAATTAATTCCTAGTTACACTAATTTTCTTTCTTGTTACTCAGTTCTGTAACTTATAGCAGTTTTAAAATTGAAGGAAGAATACCAATATAGAAGAAAAGAGTGCAATCTTTATGTGCCAGTCACTAATATGATTTGGTTAATGAGTCAAATATGATTTGCATAATGCATGTAGCTGTTCTATTTTATGACGATGTTTGGATCTAAAATACAGAATTTTCACTTCTAATTGACAGAGTACTTTGCCTTTTCAAAAAATAACGAAAAGAGTACTGGTTTTACTATGCGAGATCTTACATTTGAATGGTGATTATTTTCTCAATGAATGTTTATGCAAGCCATGTTAACTGAGTTTCAAAAGATCAATTTACAAAATTTTAAAATTGAAGCTGATATGCAGAATTCCGTGAAAACACACGCGCCCCGCACATAAACACACTCACGCGCACACGCATATACACTCACTCACGCACACGTTCACACACACACACTCACGCATACAAATGTATGGTATTTATAGTTTTATCACGAATCAACGAAAACCAATAAGTGAATCAATTAATGGGCTTTATTCTTTCTTTCTTATGGATTCCTTCCTGCTTGTATATAGTCAGTTTCTTTTGAAGTCTATTATTGGTTGCATTTGTTTTCTGCTTTGATTGTCTTCAGTTTTTTCATCTTCATTAACTGTTCAGCGTTCACCTGTGTATCTCTTTATTTTCCAATATAGAATGGAAAGTCCTATACACAACACAATTAACTCAAAAAGCAAAGAAGTATCATGACGGCTTTTTACAACTAGAATTTTGTGGATCCCTTGGGCGGCAAGTTAGTTTTCTTTCTTTTTATAATTTTCATTTTCCTGTTTGTATCGCCACATATTTCTTTATTTATCATCAATTTGTTTGATTTTCTGTTTACTTTGAAACTGGTTCCATGGTAATGAATTATTCGACTTTTCTTAATGACATAGACCTTATTTAAACACACATCATCTTGGCACAATGTTATATTAATTAGTTGTTCTCCTTTTAATGTTCTCTTTCCAGGTCATACTATATGATTTGAGCAAAAGACATTTAGAACGCAGGTTTCTAAAGAAAGATGAAGTTATATAAGCTGGTTCGATGGTATATTTTGCTGGACACCCATCTATCTCAGAAATTGAATAAAAAATAATAAATATTAATGAATAATCATTTAGGATTAAAGAAAAAACCTCCTCAATATCAGTGAAGTCACAAGAGACTAGGAAGCTAAGAATCTTCGAAATCTTACACAAAAAAATCACAATAAAAACACCAAATCTGGCTCTAGAAATAAAAAAATACTGTTTGAATAGCATGACTTGATATTGATAAGAGTGAGCGATTTACTTATTGGTTTCATGTGAGGAATCACAAACAACTTCAAGTTGTGTTATACATGCATGAGTCAATCAATAATTTAGTATAACCAATTTGGATCACATAGTTCAATTTTCAACAATTTTTTATCTGGGCAAAATTGAAAAAATCTATTATAAAAGTTGGGTTCTTTGTTGATTTCTTCCCTTTGACAGGTTCTGAGGCAATGTTTGCTGATCTTGGTCATTTCAATCCGTGGTCCATTCATGTAACTTTTATGATTTTTGGCCTCTACTTCCAGATTGTGATTCCTTTTCAGCAAGTAATGGTCTTTTCTCTTTGTTATTTTTGGTAACATATAACTTTCATATTCACAATCTACCCATCTTTAGTTCTGACTTATGCGGGGCAGACAACATACCTGATTAAAAATCCCAATGATCATAATGATGGCTTTTACAAATTTATACCAACTCCAGTTTACTGGCCTATCTTTATCATTGCAACATCGGCTGCAATTGTTGCTAGCCAGTCATTTATATCAGCCACCTCTTCTTTGATCAAGCAATCTGTAGTACTCGATTATTTTCCTCGAGTGAAGATTGTACACACATCTCCTAATAATGAAGGAGAAGTTTACTCCCCTGAAGTGAACTACATCCGTATGATCCTTTGTGTTGCTGTCATACTTATATTTGGAGATGGAAAAGATATTGGAAATGCTTTCCGTATGGCAGTTTCTGAAACCCATTGCTCTTTTGACATATAATAACATCAATCTCCTATCACCTGATTAAGAGAACACAATACTCTTTTATTCACATCATCAACTACATAACATTGTTTAGCAACTCTTTTGAATTTGAATTTTGGCAATTGATACATAATAGATGAATAAAAGGGTTCTGTTATCATTAATCTGATGGTTCTTCTCAATCCTAAAATTCTAGGATTGTTACTCATGTCTACCAATAAACATAGCTTTTGGCCATATAGTGACATTAGGATTGTCTTCTATTTTATTGTTTGGAACTATTTAGTCTTTGCAATCTTCTCATTGATGGTATAACATTTGTTGCAGGTGTTGTCATAAATAATTTGAAAATACATATACAGAACTTTCCCGACAATCTTTTATCTGATTCTCAAAAGTTTGAAGAGGTCTCCAGCTTAGAAGAAGCGCGACTTGCTGGTGTTGTTCATGTTCACGGAAAGACAAGATTTTATATCGGCTTGAACTATGGCTGGTTTGATAAAATCATGCTTGCATTTTACGAAGTCATGCACAATAACTGTAGATCTGGCCTGCCTGCTCTAGGAGTTTCATTAAAGCAACGGATGGAAGTTGGAATGCTTTACGAAGCTTGAAAGGTTAACTACATTCAAGAACTTAAAATTCACATAATTCTGCAGCTTCACTAACTCATTGTGTTCCATATACATGATACAACATGTAAGAGTCTAAATACTGAAGTGTGAACAAAAGGGATTAAGCAATAGGTATCATGTATGTGCTAAAATCCTACAAGTAGAAAACATCATATTGGTTGAATCATATTCTTGTATAATAACAGCTGAAGTGGTCATATATAGTTTTAAGAAAAAAATTCACATGCTATCGTACAGTATGACCTGGAAAGACAACATTTCTATATATAGAAGAATAGTCCTGGTACTCTCCTAAGTAGACAACATTTCCATACCAAATATATATGACAGAAGAATAGTCATGGTCCTTCCAAACAAGCATGTGTTGATTTTGCAATGGAGTCAAGATTTGTTGTTGTTGTTTCAATTTATGTAATATTTTGATAACTCTTACTTCATATGTGTTATATGTTTTGATAAATTATTTATGATCTTGATAAATTGATTGAAGGAGAATAGGACATGACATAATTGTCATTATTGGAAAACATGGTGAGCATATATAGATTATACAATTGGAAAGCAGGCATAATTTTGTTGACTTTTACAATTTGACTTTAGGCTCGGTTAGACCAAAGCTAAATACTTTGTTGACTTATAAAGTTTGAACTTAGCCTCGAAAAAGGTCGAGGCAAAATGTTCCTTTAGCCTCGACCAGGACCAAGGCTAAATAGCACGTGAGCTTATGGAGTTTGACTTTAGCCTCGGTCAGACCCAGGCTATTTTTTGTTTTTTGACACGGCTTCACCGAGGCTAAAGTAGACACGGCTAAACCGAGGCTAAATTAGACATGGCTAGACCGAGGCTACATTTAGCCACGACTCTTCTTGGCCAAGGCTAAATGTTAGCTTCGATCGTTTTAGCCTATCCCCGACACCAACGCTAGGCCGAGGCTAATTGGCTAGTAGCGGCGGTTTTTTGCCTTATAGTGTTGGAAAATGGCCGAGGCTAAATACATCATTTCTAGTAGTGATACGAGTTAGGATAGTGCGGAGTGCACGCTCGTCGAGCCAACATGTAATTGAATGCGAATAATTGAAAAGGGGTTCCGAGGGGCGAAGCCCCTGGCGGGGTGCGGGGCAGCGCCCCGCTGGGGTTCCAAGGGGCTGAACCCCTGGCTAGGGTACCGATCCGTTCAAAATTTTTGAACAGTTGAACTCGTTCGAAAGTTTTCTGAACAGTTGAACCCTTTCCCAACCGACTTAACCATTTTCTGAGCAGTTGTGTCTTTTCGGTTTCTGTTATTAATCTCCTATATAAGGAGTCATTTGGCCTCAGTTTAAAAGACTTAACAAAACCATACTTTCTCTCTATATTCCTGATCTGTTCTCTATTTCCAGAAGCAGATTGTTCTTCAAGAATTATCCCCACAAAGATTTCGTGAACCCAGACAATAATAGGATCGAAATACTTTGTTCGGAAAGTGTACGAACACGATTCCTCGAAGTTATCCAGGATTATCATACTCAACTTTTCTAACACCTTATAGTGTGGAAAAATAACCGATGAAAAATTTAAAATGTCCCTCAAATTTTGGAGATACATCTTAGGATGCTGTAATGACAGATTAATTTATATAGCAGTATTCAGAGACAAGTACAATAATGGCTGGATAGGGAAATAGAATTCAGTATGATTAATATAAGCTTCTTAATAGAAAAGGATTACAATGAGTAAATAGAATAAGGAAAAGTTCACTCCCACATATGGTGAATAAGAGAGAAAGAGAGAGAGAATAATCTCATACAAATTCACACCCACACACTCAAAGCTACCCACTACTAATATGCTCTCACTCATTAACAAATTGGGTCCACCTTGGATGCTTCTTTTTTATTCTATTGTTGTGCCTTATTTCCTTATCATTTTCCATGTCATCATCCAATTCCTCATTCACATCATTTTTATCAATTGGGCACTTCTCACCCATAACATTACCCTCCCCTTCAAGAGCAATCTTGTCCTCAAGATTGAGGTTCGGGTAACTCTGTAGCATTTCTTCTATATCTTCCCGAGTTGCTTCTTGACTTGACATATCTTTCTATTTCACCAACACTTGGTCCACCACTTGTACTCCTTTACGAATGCTTCGAGTACTCAACACAGCTTCTGGTTGAATCACTGGTCTTTCTTCCACTATAATTAATGGCAATGGCAAGTATGGTACAACAGTGAGGCCTTTGAACAGTTTCAATTGGGATACATGAAATACAGGATGTATACGAGCTGTCTCGGGCAATTGGACCTTATAAGCTACAACACCAATTTTGTCAATGATATTAAATGGACCAAAATACTGCATCCCTAACTTATTGTTCTTTCTCAATGCTATCGAGGATTGTCTATATGGTTGCAACTTGACTAAAACTTGATCACCAATCTCCAAAGAAACATTGCTTCTTTTCTTATCAGCATTGACTTTCATCACCTGTTGAGCTCTCCTCAAATTCTCTTTCAACTCAAGTAGAATTTTGTCCCTTTCAATTAACTGTTGTTGCAGTTCTACCGGATCAGCAGTGTTAACAGTGTAACGAATTAGCATAGGAGGATCTCTCCCATATAAAGCTTTGAATGGAGACATTCCTAAGCTTGAATGCAACGCCGTATTATACCACAGTTCCGCCCAAGAGAGAGCTTTGGACCACGCCTTTGGATTCTTGAAAGAAAAACACCGCAAATACATTTCTAAACACTTATTGACAGCTTCGGATTGGCCATCCATCTGAGGATGATACGTGGAGTTCATCGCTAATGTTATGCCCTGTAATTGGAATAAATGCTGCCAAAATTGACTAGTGAATACTTTATCTCTGTCAGACACTATTGATTTAGGCATTCCATGTAATTTAACCACATTATGCATAAATGTCTCGGCAACCGTCTTACTAGAATAATTTGATTTCAAGGGTATGAAATGAGCATACTTACTTAGTCTGTCAACTACTACCATGATAACAGTAAAACCAGAAGAAGGAGGTAAGCCAGTAATAAAATCCATTGCGATATCTTCCCAAACTTGCTCCAGAATCGGCAACGGTTGCAACAGCCCAGCATAAGGCTTATTGGCAGACTTAGCTTATTGACAGATGATACAAGCTGCAATGAATTTCTGCACATGTTGTCTCATATTAGGGCAATAAAACTGAGATGCAACTCTTGCAAGAGTTCTGGTCACTCCTGTGTGTCCCCCTATAGGTGTGTCATGATATTCCGTGAGAATTTTATGAATCAAACTACTCTCAACCGGAACTACCAACCTATGTTTCCAATACAATAAACCATCCTTCACAGTATAATTATCATTGTTCACATTATTGTTAAGGCATTGTTGAACAATTAATTGC